AAAAGTGTATTACTTGCTTGCTTGCCTCATGTATCACCTACAAGCTCTTTTAATGACCAGGAAAGGGGGTGCCTCATTTTCTAAAAAAACCAGTTTCTGTTCGTTGTTGGAGGCAGTTCAAAACTTTAACTTACAAACCTTTATCGTTGAGGAGGCAATGGAGAAACATGCCTTACTTTTGACGCATTCACTATAGCTTCTTTCCCTTTGCAGCAGCTGCTCAGCCGCGCTCCGAGGGATGGGCAGCGCTGAGGAGCCCGGAGCTGCAGTTCTGCTCCTGCCCTGGAGATGGGTCCCTCTGCCTGCCTGAGCTGGGATCCATCCCTGCGGAGCGAGCGGGAGCCCGGATCGGAGCCCTGCCCGGGTCCCTCTGCCCGAGCCCAGCTCGGAGCCCTGCCCGAGGACCGTGCCCCTTCCTCCGCCGGCAGCCCAGCTCGCTCGGCAGGTGCCTGGCTGGCTCTGTGGATAAGGTGCTGGTTTATGAGAAGTCAGAGGCTGTCTCCTGCAGATGTCTGATAGAGCATCGAGCACCGGGTGAGCTCCGGAGGAGAGAGGATTTAAAGCTGTAGGTGCTTGGTTCTCCAGTGCTTCACTTCTGCATCCTGCTTTGTGTCATATCCCCCTCTTCCCCCCACTCCCAACAAAGACCTGAAGGATGGAGCTGGAGATTGAGCTCGCGTTCCTCTTACTGGATCTCTGCATTCCTCGGAGGTGTGGCAGGGGGTGCAGATGGACGGAGGGGCAGAAGGAGGAGGAGGTTGCTCCTGCAATGAGGGAGTTCTGCGCTGAACCTGCCCACACTGTCCCTTTCACATTTCCCGCGTGAGGGGTTCCTCTCTTGCTGTGCAGGAATCCTGCTCGTTTCCCCACGGTTAGTCCCCCTGGAGCTGCACAGGGTGTCACACAGGCTGCCTTTTCCTGCGGCCTCACCCTGTGTTTAGCTGATGAGCTTTGCTGAGAGCCGTGTCTCAGCTCAGCTGCTTTCACACCGGGCTTGTGGCTCCAGTGAGATGTGGGCAAAGTTGCTTTTAGGCTCTGCTGCCCGGTGACAGAGCACTTGTCACTGTGAGAACAGCTCAGAAGTACTCAGGTTACGCTACGAGCAAAACTTGGAGCTTGTGCAGGTTCTCTTCCAAAGTGTGCTGGGGCTGCCTTGCTCCAGAGAGTCTGTCTTTGTCCAGATCTGCCTACGTCCTCGCAGGTCTCACAGCAAGTTTTTAGTGCTGCAACACTAAATCACTCTCATGTTGCATGTCCCTGGCCTCACGTCTGTGCTCTGAGTAAGCTATGCATGTCTGTGGGCTAGAAACATTTTCTTTTCTTTGTCCCTTTCTTCAACCTCTCAAAAAGAGCACTATAGTGCTGAATGAGTGTTCATGAAAATATCCCCAGTGCCTGTGCTCTGTTTTTTGTTCTCTGAGCAGTGGCTTAAGAGCATGTGCTCTTTCTCTCACACAGAGGAGGAGCAGGAGGCAGAGCTGAGGTCTGTCAGGAGGGCAGCAGGTTTGAGGGGAGGGAGCTTTTTGGGCAGTGGAGGCTGGCAGCAGCGAGCAGACCTGCGTGCATTCCCCTTGCCATGTAGTGTCCCTTGGCAGCCGTGCTGCCAGGTGGTGCTCTGGTGTCTCATCAGACACTGCTCCAAACAGCACAGGAGGAAAATGAGCTGGTGATGGATAGCCCTGGTGATGCCAAAGCTGTTAAAATATGAACCTCTGATGTACAGCCGGGGTTCCAGTGATGGACTCAGCCTCTGTGTGCTCAGCTGCTCGTGTTGGGGATGCTGCTGCTCTGGGTCACTTCCCTTCTCTTCAGACTGGGCTTGGCTGCTGTCTCTGAGGGCTGGCAGCTTGTGCTGGCCTTGGAATCCCTGCATGGATGAAAGGAGATGGGGCATGCTCAAAGGTCAGGCAGGCACTCCCCCATCACCAAGGCACTGTTGCCTGAAGCTCTGTCACCCCTGATGCTGTAAGGGCACCGAGCATCCTTGGAGCTGTCTCCACCTGTGTTCTCCCCAGCAAGGGCTGCTCAAAGAGTTTGTTTCCTTGGGATTTTTCTCTTTTCATGCTCTGTGTGCTCTGGATTCCCACAATAATGCTGCTTTTCTCATCTCCCCTGCTCAGGATTGTGTCTGGGGTGTGGGAGGTATTCAGACTAAGTGAAAAGGTAAATCTTCTGTTGTAACCACGAACCACAACTCCCAGGGCCATATAAAGGGGGTCAGGAGGCATCCTTGCTCTCATCCTTGTCCTCTCCCAGTGCAGCCCTGTGTTACCTGATGCCATACTGGGCAGAGACAGGAAGACCTGCTGTCTGGTGAGGTGACCCTGACCTGGAGCCCTGGGGTGACTCACAGTGTCCCTGGAAGCTGCTTTGGGGCTGGAGGTCACTGGGATGGGGACACCAGGTGTGCTCTCATATGAGCAATGGGCTTGCCTGGGCTCAGCACAGGTACCAGTTGTGCCCTGTTTGGCCTCTGAGGAAGAGGAGGAGGAAGCTGCCATGTGGCCCCATGCCGGGTGTAGGGCTGGAGGAGAGGATGACATGGGCAGAGTGGCCCCATGAGGAATGGCTGCTGCAGGCCACACGCCGTTTTCCCATTAGTGAGTGTTTAGTTCAGCGTTTTAAATAATTGTGTCCTCGGAATGATATTTAAAATCCATTTGGGAGGCAATGAGGCGGGAAAGTGCCTGTGCCATTGTGATGACGCTGCGCGGGCCGTGCCACACATGCATATTACAAACTCGTTACAGGCTCGTCTCCACGCACGCTGCTCCCTCCCCACAGCCTCCTTCTGAGGCTCTGCATGCCTCTCCCCCACCAAGGCTGCAGTGCTTGGCCCTATGGAGACATTTATGTGACAAGATAGACGTGGTGTCCTCTGGGGTGAGGGATAAGGCACAGCCAGGTCACGGCACCTGGGTGCTGTCCATGGGAATGGAGGTGTGTGGGCCATACCTGGTGATGGAACTCTTGTTCAGGGCTCCTGGCCTTCACCTGTGATCGCTTTGTGACCAGCCCTTGACTTGTGTCACTGCAGGCTCCTGACCCTGAAGCCGCAGGGCTTTCAGCTCGGGTGCTCAGGGCACTGTTAGAGGAGTTGTGTCAGCTGTCCTGGGCTGGCTCTGAAGCTGAGGACAAGCCTGTGCCCCTGAATGTCCATGCATGAACTGGAGGGACTGGTGTGAGGGAGCTGATGGAGCAGCAGCGGTGGTTCTGTGGGTGCTGGTTAGTGCTGGCTGGGAGAGTGGCCTTGCTGCTCTTCCTGTTTCTCTCTGACTGCTGTGTGGGCACCCTCTGTGCCCCCTCAAGCCATGCAGGATGGAAATCCTGTGTGGGAGGACAGGGCAGTATTCAGTTCTTATCCTCTTCCTCCTGACCATGTTCAGACTCTCCTAGCCAGGGTCTCCACTGTGATTTTTTTCAGTGCTGCCTTGTGACCAAACATTAGCGGGGTGAGGATGAAAGCTCCAGGTGCACTTACAGACATGTTGTATTCTGACATTTGTCTCTTTCTCAGTGACCCAGCTGGCTGTTCTTCTGGCTAGGAAATGGATGGCTCTGCTGGAAATGGATGGATCTGCTGGCACCCTTTTCTCTGCCTGCAGCTGAGGACCCTCAGTGCCCTCAGTGTCCCTGTGGACTTTCCTGCTTGGCACCTGTGGGTGCAGGGCTTGGACATGCTGAAGGAGTCTGCTTGTGTTTTGTGGGTTTGGTGGTTTTTTTTTGTTTTTTCCTTTCTGCGTGAGTTTTTTGTATGTAGTTTTGGCTTGATTGGTTTGTTTGAAGTGGTTTTAGGGATTTTTTTTGTTGTTAGCCATGGGAATGGGAGAAAATATCCAGGGTAGCTGGTGCAGTCAAGGATGTGCAGACCCAGGAGTGTGAAATGCTGAGTGTGAGCAGGGGTAGTGGGTGGGGGAGCTCCTCCCAGGGACCTTGCTTGGATGGCCTTGGGTGTGGGAACAGTGTTGAGTGAGAGGGGCTCGTTTGGGATTCTTGTCCTAAGCCCCTAGCTGGGTGAAAATGATGGCATTGGTTCCAGGAACAGCACAAGTTGTAAAGACAGTTGGAGAGGAACTAAGAGTTCTTAGTTTGTCCTCTTCCTCATCTCTCAGGGAATCCAGACTTCCTGTGCTCAGAGTTCCCCCAGTCAGGGCTGCTGCTCTGAGCCCTCACCTGGCTGCAGGAGACCGAAGCTCGAGTGTGGGTTCCACAGTGGAGCTGGACATGCAGCCACTGCATCCTTCAGGAGAACAATGTGCTCCCAGCCCAGCACCAGGGCGTGCTGCACTGGCACAGAGCAGCTGTGCTGTGGCAATGGGAATGTTTGGCATGATCCCAGTCCTGGGACTGGTCCATGGACCCTCTTCAGCTTCAGGGTTCTCTTTGTTCTGCTCTGGAAACAGCTGCCAACAGGAACACAAGCAGTCTGGCTCCTCTAGCCACACCATGAAGAACTTGGCTACAGTTTGGAACCAATGTGACAGTGTTGACCAGCACCTCCAGCCACACCATGAAGAACTTGGCTACAGTTTGGAACCAATGTGACAGTGTTGCACAAGCTGTTTTTCTCAGGGCTCCCCTCTCTGCCCTCCTGTATCCAGCCCAGCCCTGTGGGCAGCCAGCCTTGCTGCCCCAGGAAGGGGCTGATTCCAGAGCAGTGTGTGGTACTGGTCAGGCTCTTTTGGTCCCTGTGGAGCTGCCTGTGGGGAAGAGCTCTGTCCTTGGGACCTTATGACTTCTGAGCCCGAGTCTGACCCAGGCCCTTCCCAAGTCCCCTCTCCCACCTGCCTCCCTGCCGTGGTTGCCCCACCTTGCTCTGCCTCTCTCTCAGTGGGAGCACTGTGTGGAGCAGGGGCTCTCTGCAGAGCCAGCAAGCACAAAGAGCATTCCAGGCTGCCTGCCACCCCTCTCTGTGCCTAGTCCGTGCTGGTGATTGCAACCAGCAGCTGAAAATAAGCTCTTGGAAGAAGGGGAGGTGGTGATGAGGAGCTGCCAAGCCAGGCTATTTATACTGGGTGATTCAGGCCTCTGCCTGAGTCCAGCCAGATGCAGGGGAGCTGGAACCCAGGAGCAGCCTGCAGAGGACAAACCCGTGACCAAGAAAGTGTTTTCTGTAATAGCTCGTTCACTGAGTGGCTCAGCCTCCTCTGGTGAGTTCCCTGTGATGGACTGCACCTCTCCTCTCCGCTCTGCCCCTCAGCGTCGGCTGCAGCCGGCTCCCTGGAAGGATTCCTGCAGTGTGAGCTCCCAGCACAGCGAGCTCAGCCTGAGCCCACATGGCTGGGGGCACCAGCTCGGCCGCCTGGAGCCACTGCAGTGCCAGGACCTGCTGGTCCAGAATGCGCTCTTCACTGGAGACCTGGACATGGTGCAGAAGTACTTCACCAAGAGCTCAGCCATCAACCTCATCATCGAGACCAGGGGCGATGTGCTGCGCTGGACCAGCAGCAAACGTGGTGGGTAGGAGGGACTGGGACATGGGGGGATAGAAAATGCCCAGGATGGGGTCCAAGGATAGGGCTCAGGCACCTGAGAAAAATATTGAAAGGAATCCTCAGTGGTGGAAGAAGGACTTGAGAAGAACAGCTTTAGTGTGAGGAAGGAAGTCTCCAAGGCTGTACAACAGGTAGTAGCAGGCTTGCTGAAGGTGGCATGAGGCAGATCTACTGGGAAATAATGAGAATAGGGCCTCTGGAAGAGTTGTTGGAGAAGCACGTCCTCAGGACTGTCCTGTTAGAGATTGCTGGGACGGATGTGAAATACCTGTGAGGTGGGGAGTGTGCATGGGTGGAGAGGCACCAGAATGCTGCTCTGTTCCATGACACAGATTTTACAAGGGGAGCAGAAATCCAGTCTATGAGAAAGATGGTGGAAGCAAGCTTTCCTCAGTGACAGGAGGCAGGAGCTGATCATTCTTGGTGTTTCTTTCCATCTATACATCTCACTTGTCCATCTCTACCTTGTCCAGGCACATCTTGGGGCTACCACATATGCTTCCACACTCTCTGGTCCCTTTTACTTGCCTTCTCATCAGTGTGGTCTGTAAGCTCCTCAGTAAGCAGTGCAGCTGGTGTGTGTGCCCAAGGCAGAGGTGTGCTGGGCAGCCTGGGTGTGCCCTTGCTCTTGCTGCTGTCACCTGGTGACCTGATGCAGGCAGACTTCCAGAATTTAAGAGCGTCAAGTGGGGAAGGCCTTTAACTGTAATTGTCCTGGTTTAGGGCAAATCTAGGAGAGAGCTTTCTCAACAGAAGGCTGGTGGAAAAAGCCACCCATAGGAGAATGGAAGAGCTGTATCAAAGCTGAAATGAAAGCTCTGCTTTCCCAGGGGAGCAGGCCAAATGTCCTGGTGCTGAGACAGACAACAGCATTCTGTGGGGATGCACTGCAGCAAGAGACAAACAGGGTGCGTGGGCTTGCCAATGCACATGCTGCTACTTGAGAGTGGGGAAGATTATTGACTGAGTTGCAAGATTTGTAAGACCCGGGTTTTGAATTGTTACAGTCTATTTAGAAATGAAATCACTGAAATCACACTCACACTTTTGTGTACATGAAGGTGTTACCTTTTGTGTAAGTGAGATAATTTGTCAGTAAAATACGGACTGAGTGTGGTAACTCCTGTCTTGTTGCCAGGCTGGCAGGCACTGGAGCAGCCAGTCTCTCTGCTGGTAAAAGTCTGTGCCCCAGAGAAAATGGAATAACGTGAAACAACCTCATGCAGAAATTTCTCTAACCAACAAAGTTTCAAGATGTGAAAGACTCAACCAATCAAGATTATTCCTCGAGCACAGAGCAAAAATGTGCTGCCAAATTTGTCAGATAAGAATACATAACAAAAACCAAACCAAACCTTCATGCTACCTGAGGCTTGTCTCTGTATCTCACTGACCGTGCAGGGACAGGCTCCCAGAACTCAGTGACCTTAACGGTAGGTTCTGGTGACCTTGTCCTTCCCAGATCACCTTGCTGGCATTTTAAGGTGCCCAGAGGAAGTGTAAACTGTCTGGTGTCACTGATACTTACACCACTTGCTGCCTCCCTGGTGTGTGACTGGGAATCTCAGGCTCCCATGGGATACCTGCTTATATCCTTGTCTAAACAGAGGGTCCCATCAGGTGGGAACATCTGCCAGGTGCTTCCCTTTCTTTACCTTTTTGTAGGTACATTTCAGTCAGACAAGGTGAAGTTTGCACACACAGAGCAAACTGGATACTGTCAGCATAGGACTTGCTCATTTATTTTCATTACTGAGAAGGGTAAAGTTCCCTGTCTTACACTCGGCTCTGGTCATCTGGTAATTGTTGCTTGGTGGTCTGTTGGGGTCACTTAACTGGTGTTTAGCTGCATGATCTGAGTAATTCCATGACACAAAATTAGAGTGAGCTCCACTAGCCTTGCATGCAGTTTGACATGTTCTCTGGATCACATGGTGTGGCCAGCATGTGCACGGTGCTGATGCCAGTGAGCAGGGCACGCTCTGCTGTGACCCGGGTGGGCAGGCTGGCTGTGTGAGCCGAGTGGGCTCAGAGGAAAGCACCAGCTCAGGTGGCAGCGCTGCAGTGAGCAGCCAAGCCAGGGGAGTGTCTGAGGGCTCAAAGCGAGCACTAAAGCTGTGCAGGGGCTCTGTGCAAGGCTGGATATCAAGGAAGAGGAGGAAATGGGGAGAGTCTAAAGGATAATTACCTCCAATTTGTCCCATCCTTGTACCTATTTCTACCATTTCTTTGGCTTTGATTAAAACTAGCTGTCCTGTAGCTTATTTAAAAATCTTCCTAGTGCCAATGTCTCAGGTGCAATTGGTAGATGGGTGGCAGTGCTGAAGACATATGTGGAGCCAAGAGGTGAACAAAGGCATGGAGATGTGTGTGGAGCTGCTGGGGTCATGCTGTTGTGGTCTGGGCAGTACTGGGCAACACACTGAGTAGGCATGAAACCATTTCCCTCTCTGTCGTCTTAGTGATGTTTCGTCCCCATTTCTACCCTTCAAGCTCCCCTGTCCTTCCTGAAGGTCTCCCCTTCACAGCAGGGGAGGTACTGCGGGGAGGGAGCTGAGGTACTGCTGCCTGAGTGGAGAGCCTTTATCAGCCTCTTGGCCCCAGTGTTTGGTCACAAGGTTTCCTGGAATAGAACAGCTGAGAGTTCAGCTGTGCCCAGCCTGAGCCAGAGAGGGGTGTGATGTGTTCCCCTCCTGTGAACGCCCTGGGCTGGCTGGCAGGCAGGCAGACTCTCGGCCCAAACAAGGCTGCTGGTGGGGCTGTGCCTCAGAGCCTGGCTGGGTGCACCGGCAGCTCCTGTCCTGCTCTCTGGGGAGAGCCTGCTCGGGTGCTATGGGCAGCACCACAGGCGGAAGAGACAAGAGCCAGGAGCCCATCCGCACACGGCAGGCACAGGGCCCTGCCCAGGTGTTCTGGCAGGCCCTGCTGGCTGGGGATGAGGGCACCATAGCCGAGATCCTCGGAGATCCTCAGAACGACCTGAGCGCCAGCGCTGTGTTCGACACCAGTGACCTGGAAGAGTGGAAGAATTACCGCTTCAACCCCCGTGGGCTGAGTACGGGGAGCAATGGGGCATGGCCTGGGCTGTGGGGCACGGCTGCAGTGGGGCTCAGCCTGGGCTGTGGGCTGCAGGGCACTGATGCTGGGGTTCTGGGTTACGGGTGCTCCTTGGCTTGCAGAGCAGTGGGAACGGGAACAAGAGCATGGGGATGTGGTCAGGTTCCCCTGTGTTCCTTGTGGAAAGGGGTTCCTGGTTCTGAGAGCACAGGGTGCATCCAAACCCTGGTCCCTCCCACAGGGATTGTCTCAAGTACTTGGGAGCTGTGGGCTCCCACTGCGGGTTGTGCCAGACTGACACAACATGGGTTAGACCTTTGAGATGGTCCTGTCACAACAGGACAGCCTGTGATGGCTATCACAACAGGAGTTAGAACATTTGAGACAGTGCAGTTTGAACCTGGCCCTGGAAAACACAGGTGACATACTGCCTCTGCAAGAAGGAGCTGAGAAGATGCAGTGTGGAACACACCATGCAGTCTGGGATATCTCCAGCTCAGTTTGGGCAGGCAGTAAGAAGCACAGTTTAAGGAGAATTTTCCCTGTAGCATCTGCAGGCTGTCAGCCAGCAGAAAGCACCGGCTCAGCTGTGGGTTGTGCTGGGTCAGCATCTTTGAGAGCTGGCACATTTCAGCCTCTTGCTCTCTCCTAGGCTCTAGATGTCCAGCTCTGCTGTAGCTTGTTGTCTGCACCCTGCTCAGGGCTTGTTTGAATCCCCGTGTGTGCGGTAGATGGCTCTGACACCTCTCTACAGCCTGGTTCCTTGTGTTTGTGGTGCTTCACACACGGTGTGTGGCCCAGCCACCTCATTGCCATCAGTCCTGCTCGTACCCCAGACCCTCCATCTGCTGCACCCCTAAGAACAGCCCCGTGTCCCCCCTGAGGCACAGGTGAAGGGCACGCTGCCCAGAGCAGCCTCTGCTGCTCCCCGGAGCTCCCTGTCTGCACGGCTGTGTGGCCTGAGCGCCTCCCAGGGATCTCTGCCTTGGGGCCAGTCCCAGTACAGCATCTTGCAGGGAAGGGCCTTGATGTCCCTTGAGGGGAAACACCCGTCTCTCGGGGGATGTAAGGAAAAGGGCAGGTGTTAGTGCACCGCGGCTGGACGCGGCTGCCTGAGCTCTGTTTCCCCGCAGGACTGTGGTCGCTGAGCTACGAGCAGGAGCTGACCA